TTTCATTTTTAAAATATCTTTAGATCACTGGATTACCCATTTTTGTTATTGACGAGCGATACTGCTAGTGTTATTACCTTGGCCTGGGACTCTTAAAATGGTAGTAGTAAGGGAACAGACTGCTATGCCTGCCAGATACAGGTGTCCTTTATACAGAATAGTCAGTGTTTCAGTCAAGCCTTCTCTAAAGTCCCATAACATGAACTATTTTAAATTCATTTCTGATAAATATTCTTTTCTTTTTTTTTTGAGTTGGAGTCTCACTCTGTCGCCCAGACTGGAGTGCAGTGGCTGCTCCTGGCCACCGCAGCCTTGACCTGCTGGGCTCCGGCGATCCTTCCACCTCAGCCTTCCGAGTAGCCGGAATTACAGGCACACGCTACCACACCTGGCTGATTTTTTGATTTATTGTAGAGATGAGGTCTCGCCAAGTTGCCCAGGTGGGTCTCGAACCTGCAGGCTCAGGCAATCCACTCACCTCAGCCTCCCAAAGCGTGGGATTACAGGCTGAGCCACCGAGCCCGGACTGATACATATTTCTAAGGAAAAGTTGAATTGAAAATTTTTGATGATGATTTAAATTACTGTCTCCCCTTGAGGCATAAGCTCCATAAGTATATCATACTTGGCTATAGTCTGGCTCCCAGTTTAAAACTCAGAGGAGTGCTTTTTTTTTCACTCCTGCATATTTGCAATATTGAATATAGCTAGACAGTGCCAGCATTGCATGTATAATAGAGCCAACCTAAAAACTGCTTAAGGTCAAGTGTAAGTTTAACTTTCCACTATATATATTCTGTAGGTCAGTTTTGTTTAGAATAAGATACGCATATAATTCTACACTGGGCAAAAGGAACTTTGCTCATACCAGTCAGAGTCTCACTCTGTTACCCAGGCTGGAGGGCAGTGGCATGCTCATGGCCACCACAGCCTCGATCTGCTGGGTTCAGGCGATCCTTCTTCCTCAGCCTTCCAAGTAGCTGAAACTACAGGTGTGCACCACCATGCTCAGGTAATTTTTTTGATTTACTGTAGAGACAAGGTCTCGCCATGTTGCTCAGGCTGGTCTCAAACCCGTGGGCTCAGGCTGGTCTCAAACCCGTGGGCTCAAACCCAAAGTGCTGGGATTACAGGTGTGAGCCACTGTACCCAGCCAATTACATTTATACTAGTCATCTCATAATGCCTGTTTTTACTTGACAATATTAGATACCATGTAAATCTCACTTTATCACTTTTTTTTTTTTGGATTGGAGTCTTATTGCCCAGGCTGGAGTGCAGTGGCACACTCACGGCCACCGCAGCCTCGACCTGCTGGGCTCAGGCGATCCTTCCGCCTCAGCCTTCCAAGTAGCTGGAACTATAGACACACGCTGCCACACCCAGCTAGTTTTTGTGATTTGGTCTCGATCCCCTGGGCTCAGGCAATCCTTACACCTTGACCTCCCAAAGTGCTGGAATTATAGGTTGACAGTACTTTCTGAAAGCAGGAATTAGGCCGGATGTGGTTGTTCACACCTGTGATCCCAGCGCTTTGGGAGGCTGAGGTGGGAGGTTTGCTTGAGTCCAGGAGTTCAAGACCAGTCTGGGCAACAGAGGGAGACCTCATCTCTACAAAAAATCAAAATAAAAAAAATAGCTGGGCATGGTGGCGTGTGCCTATTGTCCCAACTATTCAGGAGGCTGAGAAGGCAGGATTGCCAGAGCCCAGGAGGTCAAGGATGCAGTGAGTCATGATATGCACTCCAATCTGGGTGACCCCGACTCCAAAAAGAAAAAAAAGGCAAGCTAGAATTAACCTTGAATGCAAAGTTAGATGATATAAGTTTTTTTCAAGGTATTGGGAATAATAACTTAATAGGTAAATGTTTGCTATTTGAATGGTTATAAAAGAAGACATTTTGTTTTAGAAATAAAAATTTGTCACTTTCATTTAAACCCATTTACATTTATTTGGGAGATATTTCTGATTCTTAAAACCTTTTCAGAAATCTGTAATTCTAACTTAATTAACTCTGAATAGTTAATTTTTAACTTGAATTCTTAACAGGTTATGATAAATATCTGGGTTTGGTTGTTACCAGACCAGGGAACTGATTAATATATACAAAGGGTGCCAAAAAAATGTACACACATTTTAAGAGATGTTATCTATGTATTACTTTCCAGGTTGGATTAAATTACGGTTTCAATATGTAGTCTAATGTTTGCTCCATTGGGCGTCCACCATTTTCTTTGACTGTCCTGCCTGTTGCGTGGTAATGCTAGCATTCATTTGATTAATGCCATCCTTCGAGCATACCCAATACCTATAAAGTGTGTATACATTTTTTTTGACAACCTCTGTATGTATGAGTGTTAAAATCAGACACTCATTCAAATTGATTTCATCTGGGTGGGGGAGAATGGGATTCAACACCTTTTGGGGTCCACCAGCATTTCTCAGAACATAAATGGGATAGGAATATCTGATCTTAGCTGCTGTCCTAAAACCCTGTTGATTTAATGCTGCGGATTTACAGGATTACAGAATAATATCTTGGGTGATTATCAAGTGACACAGGAAAAAGGGAAAGGAAGATATGAAGTAAGGTAAAGAGAAAGGTGGAGGATAAGGGACAGAATGAAAGGAAATTTAAAAAAATTTTTTACTAATTGAAACAATACAAGGAAGATGAGTTAAAATAAACATAAGAAGAAAGAGTCCAGGTGAAATTGTGGTACGGAGAAGAGAATAAAGGAGAGGAAACAAAAGTTTTTCAGAGTGGTTTGAATTAGTAAGGTACCGACCTGGTTTTTTATTTTTGGGCACGTCACCTCAATCCAACAGTACTGTGAGAACTTTCTGAGGAGGAGCTTTCCAAGCTGGGGGACCCTTCTGTGCTAGCTGTATTTTGCCCAACCTGTGAGGAACCCTGCTAAAAATATCTTGGTGGTCATTTTAACTACTGCCTATTCTAGGATAATGTCAGAAAAGGGAAGTTACTTATTTTACATGGGCACATAGGTAACATTGTTTTCAAGAGCCACATAACAATTAGGTAGACTATTTTAGATACTATATGTGACATTTATTTGAATATTTATTGAGATTATATCTGAACTCTTGTTTCTTATTAATCTTTCTTTGCCCTGTTTTGATCATGTAATTCATGGAACAGTCTCTAAAAGCAAGAATGAAGAGTAATAACACATTGCTAAAGAGTATTTAAAACAAAAACATTGTAAATAATTTTCATGTATCATCATATACCTTAGAAAAAAGTTGTTCACCTAAGGTGAGAAATTGTAACAAGTATAAGTGGTTTGTCAAAAGTTATAGATTGAGAGCCAGGCAAGTATGTCAGTCTCTTCACCGGCCTAGATCCAGACCTACCAGTAAACATTTTTTAGTTTATAAAAGATAAAACAGGACGAGGTGGGAGATTCACTTGAGGCCAGGTGTTCCAGACTAGCCTGCACAACATAGGGAGACTCTGTTGCTACAAAAAAAGATTTAGCTGGTGCGTGGTGGTACGCACCTGTAGTCCCAGCTACTGGGGAGGCTGATGCAGGAGGACTGCTTGAGCCCAGGAGTTCGAAGTTACAGTGAGCTATGATAATGACACTGTAGCCCAGTCTTGGTGACAGTGAGACTCTATTTCTAGAACAAAAAAATGAGAAAACCATATTAAAGAGTAAAACCTTGAAAACATTAGCTAAGTATAAGCCTCACAAGAAGTTGAGTCTGGTATAGTACTGTTTTATCTTTTATTTTTGCTTGTTTTAGAGACAGGGTATTGGTTTGTTGCCTAGGAGGATACACCAACTACTTAGTGTGTCCTTTGTTTTTCTACTACTTGTCTGATATACTTGGATTGGATTAGCTGGAAATATTAACATTACAAGGATGAGTAAATTAGGTTTATTTTATTGAGTGTTGTCCTCACCACTTACCTGTTTCTATTGCCTGCTCAAAAATCTGGCCTAGGCTGGGCGCGGTGGCTCACACCTATAATGCCAGCACTTTGGGAGGCCAAGGTGAGAGGATTCCCTGAGCCATAGGTTAAAGACGAGCATGGGCAACTTGGTGAGACCTCATCTCTACAATAAATAAAAAAAATTAGCCAGGTGTGGTGGCACGTGCCCGTGGTTCCAGCTACTTGGAAAGCTGAGGTGGAAGGATCGCCGGAGCCCGGCAGGTTGTGGTGGCCCTGAGCATGCCACTGCACTTCAGCTTTGGTGACAGAGTGAGACTCCAATGCAAAAAAAAAAAAAAAAAAATGTGGCCGGGTATGGTGGCTTACGTCTATAATCCCAGCACTTTGGGAGGCCGAGGTGAGAGAATTGCCTGAGCCCAGGGGTTCGAGACCAGCCTGGGCAACTTGTTGAGACCTCATCTCTACAATAAAGCAAAACAAAAACTAGCCTTTGTGTAGAGTTTTCAGGTGAAAGATGATAGAGAAGTGGAGTATGGAGTATGAGTAGAGGGATCATCAGAATTTACCTTCATTATTCTAGTGTTAGAATGGGTTATAGTTGTGTGGTATTCTCTCAGAGCGCGCACAAACATCAGTCTTTATAGTCATTCTCTTCCCAATACTTCTCAAAGGTTATATGATGTCTCATATCACAAGATTTTTCAGAGAAATCAGCTAATTATGTTTTTTGCAATATGACACTAAATTTGAGACAAAATATTCTTCAATTCTACATATATATGTATCATATATATAGTTCAACTCCAAATATAAAGCTCAGCTTATCTTTTGAACACTCTTTACTAGATATAGCTCCAATTATGTATTACTGTTAAAATTACTGTTAAACTTATTTTTAAAATTGTAGATGGCCTACAGATGATTAGGTCCTGTTTTATTTATTACTTTATGGTAATATGAGATATATAAATGTATTTATGTTTATCCCTGAGTAAACTGAATATTTAGAAATATGTAGTACTACCTTCATTTTTAAAACTTTAGGGATAAAAGTACCTTTTAAAATAATTAACTTGGCTAGGCATGGTGGCTCACGCCTGTAATCCAAGCACTTTGGGAAGCAGAGGCGAGAGGATTGCCTGAGTCCAGGGGTTCGAGACCAGCCTGGGCAACTTGGCAAGACCTCGACTCTACAATAAATTTTAAAAATTAGCCAGGTGTGGTGGTATGCACCTGTGGTGCTAGTTACTTGGAAGGCTGAGGCAGAAGGATCACCTGAGCCCACCAGGTTGAGGCTGTGGTGGCCATAGCGTGCCACTGCATCCCAGCCTGGGCTACAGAGAGAGACTCTGACTCAGGAAAACTCCCAAAAGTAATTGTATTGAGCAATGAGTAATGGTATTGTCTAGACTGGGGATTTAAAATATTTTGGACTTAGGATACCTTCACATTCTTAAAAATTGAGGATCTCAAAAACTTGTTTACATGTGTACTTTCTATAGGTATTTACTGTATTAGAAATACAAACTGAGAATTTAAAAAATACATGAATTCATTTAAAATAATGGTGATAAACCCATAACATGTTAACAAATAATTTAGAAAAAATAACTTTTCCAAAACAAAATTACGAGAAGCATGGCATTGCTTTGTATATTTATAGATCTCTTTAATGGCTATTTTTTTTTTTTTTTTTTGAGTTCGAGTCTCACTTTGTTGCCCAGGCTGGAGTGCAGTGACATGCTCACGGCCACCCCAGCGTTGACTTGCTGGGCTCTGGTGATCTTTCTGCCTCAGCCTTCCAAGTAGCCAGAACTACAGCCATGCGCTACCATGCCCAGATAATTTTTTTTTTATTGTAGAGACTGCCTTGCCTAGTTCCTGCTGAGGCTTCATCAGGGTCTACCCACCATGGCTTTTATACCATCAGTGCAGTTGTCAACATGGTGCAGAAAGCAAGTAACAACTTAATACTGGGAAGCCAAGTTGCCCAGGCAGGTCTGGAACCCGCGGGCTCAGGCAGTCCACTTACCTCAGCCTCCCAAAGTTCTGGGATTACAGGCTTAGCCACTGACCCCAGCCAGTGGCTAGTTATTTTAATAGAAGATAGCTGGAGTCTTTTGTCTGCTTTTGCATTTAACCTGTTGCAATAAAGAGAAAAATCTAGCCTTTACACAGGTATGTAGTTGGTAAAGGAGGGAATATTTTATTTTATTATTGGAGTCTCACTCTGTTGCCCAGGCTGGAGTGCTACGGTACGCTCACAGACACCACAGTCTCTTCCTCCTGGGCTCAGGGGATCCTTCCACCTCAGCCTTCCAAGCAGCTGGAAACACAGGCACGTGCCACCATGCCCAGCTAATTTTTTGATCTAGTGTAGAGGTGAGGTCTTGGCAAGTTGCTCAGGCTAGTCTCGAACCCCTGGACTCATGCAGTCCTCTTGCTTCCACCTCCCAAAGTGCTGAGATTACAGGCATGAGCCACCATGCCCAGCTTGGAGGGAATATTTTAATAGCCTTTATAGGTAACTGTGGATCCTCTTTGATACTCTACTAAAACTCTACAAGTGTTAGTTTCTTTGTTGCAGTATGAAATCCAAAATATGACCATACTGGTCTTTTTTGGACTTCAAATAGATATTTTGCCCATGCATGATTTATAACTTTATGCACTGGTGACTTGAAAAAAAATATTATGTGTTATGTAGATCCCTGACATATTTCATTATACAGTTTCCCTTTCCCCTCAGAAACCCTCACATTCATTAATATTACCAATCTATCTTGTCAGAAAAGTCTTCAATTAATAGGAAGCTGTCAGGCTCATGAATGGCAAATATATTTTCTACAATTCCCAATTTTCACATGAAAAACAACTTTTTCATTGGCAAGAAATACTGTCACTTGTTTTTCTTGAAGTAACAAGCTCATTGTGAAATAATTTCCTTGAAGTAACAAGCTTATTTTTTTTTTCAAGAAAATGTCTGTCAGATACCTAAGTCTGAACAGCCATAGCTTGTCCTCTGTTATTTCAAGTAAAAATGGTGTTCCATGAAAACAGCTGGTTCAGCTTGCAGCTCAATCACATCAGTGCTTTTCCTCCAGACAACAACTGCTGGTATACAGCAAAAGTGCTTTGTGTGTGCTTCCTATTTTGTCACATAGAATATTAAAAGACATTTCATAAAGACCAAGATTTAATAAAGCAAATGGTTTTTACTGCTTCATCAAGAACATCCTTTAATGAAACTGGCTCTCCCACCCCCACCCACTTCAAGCGAAGAATACAATGACTAGTGCAATTCACTGCTTCTTACTGCCTTGGCTAGTTCCTGCTGAAGCTCCATCAGGGTCTACCCGCCATGGCTTTTACACCATCAGTGCAGTTGTCAACATGGTGCAGAAAGCAAGTAACAACTTAATACTGTGAAATTAGTTTTGATCTTGTCACACATGCTCTGAAAGTAGGATACCCAGGATTCTACCTACCACATTCTGAGAATTGATGCTCTAGATAATACTTAGGATGACTTTGATTACTGTCCTGGCGGTTTAAAAACAACAAAAAACTCATTAAATTCTCTAGGAAAGAATGAATTGCAACTCTCTCTTGTGCTTTACCTAGGATTTTAAAAATTGTAACTTTGCCTTTAAAATAGAAAAATATGCCAATTCCTAATACCCGTGAAAGTCTTCATGAGAGTACATGCTTGGATGTATATTTCTGTGCTTCTTTCTTTTAAATAGCATTCCATTTTATATTTGTGGGCCCAAAGCAAAGAGCTCATTCTATTACAGACACTGAATAGCTTTGTTTCTGACAGCTAGTAGTCAGCTCTCTGTTTTTAAACAATCAGTTGGGTCCTGCTGGCTCCACTTGCAGTTGTCCTAGTGCTAACCCTATCTCAGCCAAAGACTGTTGTTGGAAAGCCCACACAAAGGCCTTGTGTACAGGGTGCCCTACTATTAAGAAGTGTTTTCTAGTCTCAGCGGATTAAATCTGCTCTGGTGTGCATTCTCTTCCCAGATTTGTCACTATTTCCTTTGTTTGCCTGGTTATTTCGGTGAAAGATCATTTTAATGTGGAGACAGTTTCTTCTAATTATTTCATAGTCCTATGTGAAGGGGATTATTGGAGTTAAATAAAATGCTTTTTTCCTCTGTGATAGGATGTGATGGAGCTGCTTGAAGAAGATCTCACGTGCCCAATTTGTTGCAGTCTGTTTGATGATCCTCGAGTTTTACCTTGCTCACACAACTTCTGCAAAAAGTGCTTAGAAGGTATCTTAGAGGGGAATGTACGGAATTCGCTATGGAGACCATCTCCGTTCAAGTGTCCCACATGCCGTAAGGAAACTTCAGCTACTGGAGTTAATAGCTTGCAGGTTAATTACTCCCTGAAGGGTATTGTGGAAAAGTATAATAAGATCAAGATCTCTCCCAAAATGCCAGTATGCAAAGGACACTTGGGGCAGCCACTCAATATTTTCTGCCTGACGGATATGCAGCTGATTTGTGGGATCTGTGCTACTCGTGGAGACCACACCAGGCATGTCTTCTGTTCTATTGAAGATGCCTATGTGCAGGAAAGGGATGCCTTTGAGTCCCTCTTTCAGAGCTTTGAGACGTGGCGTCGGGGAGATGCTCTTTCTCGCTTGGACACCTTGGAAACTAGCAAGAGGAAATCCTTACAGTTACTGACTAAAGATTCAGATAAAGTGAAGGAGTTTTTTGAGAAGTTACAACACACACTGGATCAAAAGAAGAATGAAATACTGTCTGACTTTGAGACCATGAAACTTGCAGTTATGCAGGCATATGACCCAGAGATCAACAAACTCAACACTATCTTGCAGGAGCAACGAATGGCCTTCAACATTGCTGAGGCTTTCAAAGATGTGTCAGAACCCATCATATTTCTGCAGCAGATGCAGGAGTTCAGGGAGAAAATCAAAGTAATCAAGGAAACTCCTTTACCTCCCTCTAATTTGCCCACAAGCCCTTTAATGAAGAACTTTGATACCAGTCAGTGGGAGGACATAAAACTAGTGGATGTGGATAAACTTTCTTTGCCTCAAGACACTGGCACATTCATTAGCAAGATTCCCTGGAGCTTTTATCAGCTATTTTTGGTAGGCCTTCTGCTAAGCCTTGCCATTTTCTTTGGTCCTACCATATTCCTGGAATGGTCATTATTTGGTAAACTGGCAATTTGGAAGGACTATCTTTCAAACTTCAGTTTTTATCTGACTAAGTCAGCTGATTTTGTAGAACAATCTTATTTTTACTGGGAACAGGTGAAAGATGGGTTTTTCATTTTCAGTGAAAGATTCAAGAATTTTACATTGGTGGTGTTGAACAATGTGGCAGAATTTGTGTGCAAATATAAACTACTATAAAATCTGTTTCAAGTATGCTATTCTCTGTCTTTTGTTAGAAATTGTTAGAGAACAGAGTAGTAATTCAGGTTGGGTCAAGCATTCCAGTCAAATATTTTCCTTCAAAAATATTCCTTTCAAAAGTAATGTCTTATACATGTTTATGTATTGTTCAAATTAGGTAGCATAAAGTGCAATTTAGTAGTATAGGCCTGAACCCTTTTTTCCTTTTTAAAGAGTGTTTTTGAAATAAGCATCCTTCCCCCAAATCGGTTGTGTTTGTGCTGTGGTAAGAATGAGAGGGATCATATGATCTAATGTATTACTGAACTAGTGATTGTTCATCAAGCATGCAGTAAAGATTACTCTTGTAAAGCAGTTTGTTTTTGTTTTTTTTAACAGTGAACATTCTTTAAAAAAGGAAAGACAGTTCAAAGACATGGATGGATTGGATTTCCAGATTTTTCTACAGAGGGTTGATCCCTTTATTACCAAAATGTAAATCATGTATACAAAACCTGGCATTTTCTTGTGATAAGTTTACATTTTTAGCAGGTTATAGAGATTTCAGCCTGCCCTTTTTTACCTGGTTGTGTAAATTTTTCACCAAATGTGATAAATTTAAGAAAATTAGGCAGCTGTGCAAGCAAAGGCATAGGTTAAAAAGATAACACGTGGCAAGAGCATGAAATGGGAAAGCCACCTTTTTTTCTGGCAGCTGAATGCATTGTTCCAAAGTATGGCAACTGTACAACCAAACCAGTTATTTACTTACAGAATTTTAAGTGTAGTAAGACTGATTTGACAATAGATGAACAGCCAGTCAGCTATAATTAGCTGAACACAAATGCAGTCCTATCTGTATTAAAGATAGGACTGCATTATCTCCCACAGAATAAAAATATTGAATTTTCTCACCTTGCTTAGAGTTCCTATGAAAACAAAGAAGTAACCTTATCTTATTACTGCTATTTAGTTGCCTCATTTCTGTCAGGGAATAAGACATTCCTTTGAAAGCCCATTAAGCGGAACAGACCTGAGAATAGTGTCTTCACCCAGTCCTTTAATTTGGTTAAGAGGAGTGAGACCTCATCTCTACAATAAATCAAAAAATCAGCCAGGTGTGGTAGCGCGCGCCTGTAATTCTGGCTACTCGGAAAGCTGAGGTGGAAGGATCGCCGGAGCCCAGCAGGTCGAGGCTGCGGTGGCCGCGAGCGGCCGCTGCACTCCAGTCTGGGTGACCGAGTGAGACTCCAACTCAAAAAAAAAAAAAAAAAAGAGGACGTAATGATAGTAGGGACAGGAAAAAAGGTACAACTAAATTTAAAGTACAGAGGAAATTATTTCCTTCTGACTATGAGACTAGTCAAATTAGCTTCCTAGTGAGGTAATGGCTGCCTCATTCCTTACAGTTAATTAATAATTTAGCTACTAGAATGCTAAGGGGATAAGAGATTTAAACTGTTTTTCTGTGAATCTTAGCTCTGCCACGATGGCTTATGGTAATAAGAGGTTTGGGAAGGGGAAGACTTTTCCCCTCCCAGTAATTAAAAAAAAAAAATACAGATGTATACCAAGGGCTCATGGAGAATTTGTAAATAGACTATAGGAAAGGGATCCATTTGATGTCAGTCCTACATTGGCAGTTTCCCTTACACTATTCAATTCCTCATCTGTTGCCTTTTTTTTTTTGAGTTGGAGTCTCACTGTCACCCAGACTGGAGTGCAGTGGCTGCTCCTGGCCACTGCAGACTCAACTTGCTGGGCTCCGGTGATCCTTCTGCCTCAGCCTTCCGAGTAGCTGGAACTACAGGTTCACGCTACCACGCCCGGCTGATTTTTTGATTTATTGTAGAGATGAGGTCTCGCCTGCCCAGGCGGGTCTCGAACCCGCAGGCTCAGGCGGTCTACTCACCTCAGCCTCCCAAAGGCGCAGGTTTACAGGCTGAGCCACCGAGCCCGGCTGCTTTTTTATTTTGTGTACTGCACGTTCCCAAGCAACTTAAATTTGCAAACACAGCTATGGATACACTATTTGCCTTACAGTAGTTACCTGGGAATCTAAGTCTGTTTTTTGTTTCACTTCCCTCCCCTCCATTGCTTAATCATATATAACTAGCAATATTTATGGTTATAGGTTATAGGAAGTTCTTTGTAAGTCTGTGGCTGATGGTTGGTAGCCTCTAGTCTGAAGCTAGGGGAGAATGAGTAGTCGAGAACTGGTAACTTTGAACGTGGGAGGGAAGATATTCACAACAAGGCTCGCTACCATAAAACAGTTTCCTGCTTCTCGGTTGGCACGAATGTTAGATGGCAAAGACCAAGAATTCAAGATAATTGGTAGCCAGATTTTTGTGGACAGAGATGGTGTTTTATTTAGTTTCATCTTAGATTTTTTGAGGACGAACCAGCTTTTATTACCCAGTAACTTTTCAGACTATTTTAGGCTTCGGAGAGAGGCTCTTTTCTATGAACTTGATTCTCTGGTTGATCTCTTAAGCCCATACCTGCTACAGCCAAGACCTGATCTTGTGGAGGTAAATTTCCTCAGCCGGAACACTCAAGCCTTTTTCAGGGTGTTTGGCTCTTGCAGCAAAACAATTGAGATGCTGACTGGGAGGATTACAGTGTTTATAGAACCACCTTCAGCACCCACCTGGAGTAGTAACTCTTTCCCTCCTCAGATGACCTTTCTTCCAGTGCCTCCACAAAGACCTTCTTACCATGACCTGGTTTTCCAGTGTGGCTCTGACAGCACTACTGATAACCAAACTGGAGTCAGGTATTTTGTACTTTCAAGTATCTCCTTTCTATAACATTTTGTGATGTTTTCCCTCAAAATTTGAAGTTATTCATGCCTAAAACTTGGCTTGGGAAAAAAAATGGTTATTCAAAATAATGTTCTGAGGTAAGCAGTAGTGGAGTTAGGTAGAATGACTAAATAATTATTTTCCAAACTAGGATACTTTTCAGAGTGAAAGGGAGTATTGTTACTATGTGGGACAATAAGAATAAACCAAGATTGCCCAGGGAAAACTGGGACCATGGTATTCAAATTACAAGAAGAAATAATTCTACAGATTATGTTCCATTGCTAATTTGACTTAGAAAAGAAAATCACCTTATTTTTTCAAGAGATTCTTTTAGTGGCTTGCATATAGTAAAGGCTTGCTCAGTTGTTTCTTATGATTTCTTTACACACTATATATCTATGCTTCAACTACTGATTTTTCTTCATCTGATTTTATTTTAAACACCCTTAAAGGCAGCTATATCTCATGGCAAATTTGGTATCCTGTTACATCCTTGGCTCTCAGGATAGGCTGTTACGTTAAGGATAGTTGCTCCTGAGTCACTTTCTCCCTCTGTTGTTCTTGGCTGGATCCTAAGGCTGATTTCCACTCTGCTGTCACAGACATTTTCCCCTTCCTTAAAAATGTCTTAATACTGTCCTACCATTATTTTAACAACTGTGAAAGCGGCATTAATTTTTAGGAGGGAGAAAAAAAGCCAGTTTATGTTCTTTACTGGTAGCATTTAAAGTAAAATAATTTTTTATTATTTTTTATTTTGTATTCACTTTTTGAGTTGGGGTCTCACTCTTTGTCGCCCAGGCTGGAGTGCAGTGGCACGCTCCCAGCTACTGCAGCCCCGACCTGCTGGGCTCAGGTGATTCTTCTGCCTCAGCCTTCTAAGTAGCTGGAATTACAGATGCAAGCCACCATGCCTGGCTAGTTTTTGTGATTTATTGTAGAGATAAGGTCTCACTAAGTTGCCCTGCACTCAGGCAATCCTCTTGCCTCGGCCTCCCAAAGTGCTGAGCCACTGCACCGGGCCAAAATATACTTTTTAAAGTTAAAGGTAGACAGACATATTTTAGATACTTTAATACCAGCAGTAGCCACCAGGAAGGATACCAGTGACTGCCTCTCATCACACACCCTTTGGTCTTGCTTAGCAGCTGGAGAACACTGGACAGTATAACTGAGTATGGCAATTCTTAAGTTTTTATACTTTTTAATTTCCTATCCTTCCAAAGAGGTTGAAATGTCAGATTGATAGGCTGACAGTTCATCTTTATCTCAGACTGTCTTAAGGTACCTCTGTATACTACTTTGTTTTCATTGGTGGGGTATTTAAAAAGACCAAAGGGAAATGATCAATTTTTTGGCTTTTAAAACTTGTTCTACCCTTAAGGAGGATTAAAAAAATATTTTGTTTGATTATGGCCTCTGGTGATCACTCTTCAAAAAGTTAGAAACCTAAAGAAAAATGGTGTCATTGATTTTTAAGAGGAAACATACTAAGTATAAAGAAGATGTCCTAAAAATACTAAAAGCCCTTTAAAAACCATGCATTTGGAGAAAGTAACTGTAATCTTGAAAAACAAGATTAGAAACTCAAACTGGGATATTCCTGTGTATAGTGCCAAATGGTTTCCCTTTTGTTTGTTAAGTGTTTTTGTTTTAGAAACAGCACAGAAATGTTTTCATTTTAATGTGAGAAAGGCATTATATTTAAACTTTCACAATAGATCATCATAAAACCAGAAGTTATTAACATTTTTTTTTTTTGCATCACCAAATGGTATTCTTTTCAGTTGTTTGAAGCTCAGAATTTGTTCCATCCTGTAAATGTTTGTGATTTTTTTTTTTTTATACAGTGCTAATTTCAAAGTAGAGGTAGATAATGTGAACAAAGTGACATTTATGAGGATCTCTGGTGACTGGGATAAAAACTCCAGCCTTCAAAAGCCCACTTTAAGTATATAACTGTACAATTAGCAATCATTTTTATTTTTTTGTTTGCTCCTTGGTCTGATTCTGTCTATTCAGATGTTTTTGGAAGGTGGAAGGTGGAAAGTGGAGAAGTAACCCTGAATGGGTCCTAATAGTCTGGTGCGTCATTCAGCTTATTCAGTATGTTCTATGTACAATTTATCACTTTAAGGTTTTGTTAACCTAGCAGGTTGCTCAGTTATTATTTCTCAAGTTCATAGTACTAGAAATAATTGGCTTGCATCTTTTAGA